TCTCTCTCTCTCCCCCCCTCTTCCTCCCTTTCTCCTTTGCTCCTCTTCTCCCTCTCCCCCGCCCTCCTCTCTCCCCTTTCCTACCCCCTCCCTCCCAGGGTTGCAGGCTGGCTATCAGTAGACTAGCTCACTTAGGTAGGGGCTGGGGGAGGAGGGAGCCCACCCTGTTTGCCCCATGGTGGGGCAGGGGCTCATTTTCCTGTGGGGGACCAGGCTGCCCCAGAGCCCTGGATTAGGGCTATCAGGAGTGCAGGCCAAGGATGCTAAGCACAGAGGCGGCTGAATTTGAAGCCAGGACGCAGACACGTGCATGGGGACTGCAGCCACGGCCATATGCCCATGGCCCCGTGGGTGCTGACGGGACGACATAGTGCGGTCCAGACGATGAACGGCCTTACGACAGGCAGTGACCTTCATTCTGTGCACCTGACCTTGGCCAGCCGGCATCCTGTCTGGTCTTCCCCTCCCTTGGCTGTGGGACACTCTCCTGAAGTGAAACAGTGGGATCACCGGCGCCGTTCTGGTCCCTGAGGATGGAGCTGCCTCCCTCGCCCTCCCACCGCCCCCAGGGTGCCTCATGGACTGCAAAGGCCCTGGGGCAGAGTTTGGAAACCACTGGTGTCGTCAAAAGCCTAGGGGCCTCCTCCCGTGTTCCTACAGCTGTAATGTGGCTGTGTCCATGCGTGTTGGGGCTCAGGGATCGTCGGCACCCACGCGGCCTGGCATGCAGTGCCCACCTTCCAGCTGCTCGGCGGTGGCAGGGTCTCCAAGGACCATCCTGCTTACAGCCTGGACATGCCGTGGGGTCACAGGAACCATGACTTCCCAGATTCATGGCCACGTGGAGCCTCCGATGTGTCCTTGTGTGGAATCCATCTTCACAGCTGTAATGAAGGATCGGGGTGAGGTCACCCCTGATCAGGGTGGCCCTAAATCCAGTGAGCGTGTCTTCACAAGAGACAGGTGAGACACGGACGGACCCAGAAGAGGACACCTCTTCCAGAGGCAGAGAGCAGTGACGTGTCTGCACGCCAAGGGATATCGGGTGGCGGCCACCGGCAGCATCAGGAGGAGGGGCCTGGAACAGACCGTCCCTGGAGGCTTCTGGGGGGCGGCCCTGCCTGCACCTTGATTTTGGACTCGTGCCCCGAACTGGGAGAGAATACGTCTCTGTTGTTTGGGCCCCAGGACACGCATCCAGGGAAGGCGGCTGCGTGGGGAGGGGCTCAGAGGCCGGTGAGGCAGAACCCCCTCATCCAGGCTGACTTCTGGTCCTGCGTCCTCTCCCGCCGGCATCCCCAGACGCCCTGACCTGGGTCGCGCAGAATATGCAGTTCCAGCCTTCTAGAGCCTTCCTGTGCCTCTAGTCCCCGAGGTCCTCCACCTGCGCACACCCCTCCAGCCACCCCGTCTCAGGGGAGCCGCGTGCCCAGTTGCTCCTTCCTGCGCCCAGTAGTTTCCTCAAGGCTCCCACCATCTGGTGGCTCGGGCAGTCACACCCAACACTCTGGTTCTCTTTCCCAGAGCGACTGGCTGAGTGTCCAACGTGTGGATCCTTGGCTCCCGGTGGGCGGTGGGCGGGTGGTCCACTACCACTCACACCTGCCCTTGGAGCTGCCTTTGGGCGCAGTCTCGCCTGTTTTCCTGTGGGTGGGAGGGCTGTTCGTTTTCTTCCTGGGTGAGGGTCACAGCGTCCAGATGGACGACCACTGCTGTTGGTCTGTCCGTGGGCGTTATCCCCTCCCTGAGCACCCCCTGCTCCCGCCCCTGACGGCGGAGTCATCTGGGAAGGGCGGTGACGTTCACTCCGCAGGTGCAGGCCCCCGACTGGAACTGTGCGGCCAGCCTCCCCCGCGTTGGCGGCAGGGTCTACTGTGGGCTCATTTGCTCTGAGAATTGGGGCGCTTCACACAGGGGAAGCGAACAGTTTCGCTTCTCTGTACGCTGTGCACCCGGACATGTCACTGTCCCCTTTGATTTCGGCATTTGACTTTCAGAAAGTGTAAGGCCAGGACAAGATGGGTTTTAGGTTTCCGCGTTCACCCTGCGGACCCCGGCTCCCGCCGGTCTCCCTTCCCTTCCGCCTGAAGAACTTCACAAATTCACGTTCTGCTTCCATGTGTCACAGAATGACTGTTGGGCTCCCGTTCTGGAAGGACGTTGTCACTGGATCTAGAATCCCGGGTGGACAGTGTTATGATGTCCTTCCCTTCTTTAAAAACCGGATGCTGTGGTCTCGTGGACTCCGCTGTTCCCCAAATAGAAGCAGCTGTTATTCTCTCCATCACCCTGTGGCCTGGCAGGTGCATCTCCCACCCACGCGTGATTCTGCAATGCCCTGCCTCTGTCGTGGGCAAGTCGTGGGCTCCCTGAGTCACCCAGGGCTTCCCGGGAGGACCACCTTCATCTCCCAAAGTAAGAAAAGGCAAACAAATCTGGTATTTCTCCCTGTCTCGCCAGCAAAGTCTTTAAATATGGAGAAGCTGTTCGGTGATGGATGGAGGCATCCCCAAATTCTCATTTTCACTTGAAAGCTCTAATCTCAGGGCAACATATTCTGCCCGCTGTCTTCCTCAAAGCAATGGGCTAGCCGTTCACGTTTCGGAAACGTCTTCCCGCTGCCCAAGTCGGCTCTGTCCTCCGTCCGTCCGTCAGGCGGTGACGGTCCCTGGGAACATTGGGGACTCAACGCTCAGCCAATCTCCGGGGCCTTTACCTCGAGGTGGCCATCGTGAGCTTTCTTGTTCATCACACAGAATAGTGAAAAGACTGTGCTCAACAGTTGAGATTTAATGCAAGCCCAGAGCATCTGGGGGCGGTTCTCTCTGCCGCTCGGTCCCTTGCCCGCCTCTGCAGGGGAAACGCCTTCACTCTTATCAGGTGAAGTGGACGAGGATTATGGGTTGTGGCTTGGGCTAATCCCCTTTGCCTGGGGCTGCAAACATCTAGAAGGCCAGCTCACGCTGTACTGTGCAGGGGCCTAGGACCGAGCTCCGTCCACTGTAGGATTTCAGACATCTTCTCGCTTCCAGCTTGCTGCTAACTCGGGGAAACCCGGGCGGGAGTGTTGACTCTGGATGCTTCCAGGCTCAGACATGACACAGCGGTCCATGGTTGGGGAAAGTGTGGCTGGTTTCTTCCAATCCCAGCCCAGCCAAGCCTGGGTGGCCGGGAGGCTCACTGCTCTGCCAGACCCGGCCAGTCTGCCTGGGCCTTGTTCACTGTGCATGTTGTCCCTCTGGGATCATCCCCCACCTCAAGGTCATCTGACCAGCAACCTTGATGCCCCTTTTCTGTGTAAGCAACATAATTCTCAGGTTCTGGGGAGTAGGATGCGGATGCTTTGGGGCCCGTATTCTGCCTATCATACCCTGTTCCTTGCAGCTCTCCATGGCTTAGCTGCCTGTATTTGAATCCAAAGCTATGCACACACCTCTGCGCACCTTGCCCTCCCCCTTCGCGTCGTTGCTAAAACTTCTCTGCGCTGACTCACGGAGCCAGCCCCGTCGTACCCTGGAGTGTGGAGATGGGATTTCTGTGGAGCTGAGAGCCGCCTCCTTTTCAAGCAGGACCTGATGAAGTGGCTGGTCCAGCTCTGGTTCATCCCTCCACATGATAAATGGCACTCACATCAGCGGCAGGGAGCCTGGGTGGCCCCCGGGGACACTGCGGGACCTTGGGGGTCTTTCTTCCGCTGTCTCATTGTTAAATGTTAGCAACCTGCCTGCACGCGATGTCCTTGCAGGGACCCCCGGGGGAGTGTGAAGGTGACACTCAGGAAGCCCGGGAAAACCCACAGAGGGACGTGCAGTCCCAGCCACAGCGCCGAGGAACTCCTGTCCCGGTGCTCCTTGGCAACATAATGCGGTTCGCTGTGCCCATCCTAGTCACAGGCAGGGTGTGCGGGCGCTGTGTCCCTGCTCACAGGCTCAGAGGCCACGTGGTGTGTGTGGCAGAGGACGGGGAGTGGGCTGTGGTGGCAGATGCCCCACCAGCTGTGGGTGGGCCGGGCCCCAGGCTGGCTCGCTCTTCTCTCTGCCCGCGATGCCCCGTGTTCCGCCGGCTGAGAGCAGGCGGCTGGAGGTGTGTGCCTTGTGGGGACGGTGGCTTGCGGCGGGGGTGAGGAGGATCTCCGGAGGAGCACGTCCTCTCCATGGAGCACATTCTCTGCACTGTCTTGGCTGAGGCTGGGCCTCGTCTGGGGTGGGTTTTGTTTCTGAGTGTCTGCGGACAGGTTGGGATGTCCACTGCCTTTCTCGCCATGGGACTGACCAGAGAGCACTTAAAGATGGAATTCTAAGTACTGGACCGAGGGCTGCTGAGAATTCTTTGGATGTGGGGTTGGTGGGGCACCTGCGTACTGGGATGAATCAGGGTCATCTGGGTGGCTATGGTCAAAGAAGTGACAGACCTATGGGACCAAACCACAGCCGGGCTTCATCCTGTGTCTTCCGCTGAGCCTGGGCCACAGTCCCTCGGAGATGGGGCGGGCTTGGCCATAGGAGTCCGAGTAAGCAGGGAAGGGGTTTGCCCTGTGCCTGGAGGTGCTTGGGGCCTGGCTCTCCCTTGACCATGCCTCTGCTTTGATTCTGACTTAGTGATCTGGGTCCTGCCTCTCCCCCGGCAGCGGGCGGTTGGGGTCACCTGTGTCTCTAAAAAAACGTGGTCCTCAGACGCTGGCATTGTCCAAGGTTATGCATTTGGAGTCTTTGGAAATAGGGCGCATGCTGCACTTCTGGGGGGGGGGCAGTAACAGCGCAGAGCCAGCCGGCGGCCCCCTCTCCTCCCTCCTGCTGTACAAAGCTTTTAAATTGTCTAGGGTCTCGATACGCTTACAGTTTCGAGTTTGTCTCTAGTTCTCCACTGTCCTCCACTGCCCTGACCTCTGACCTTGTGAAGGTGTGCAGGGGCCGTCCCCGATGGCCACTGCCCTCTCCAGACTGTCCGGGTCAGCCTTGCTGGGACCAGGGCTGGCCCCCTCCAGCGCGGCGGCAGCAGGCTCACGGGGGCTGGCCCCTGTCCACCCGAGAGCGTGGAACCTGCGCCGTGGCCGCCTCTGTTCCGTGTAGTCTGGGCTTCTGAAGTCTCAGCCGCATGATGGGTGAATGGCAGAGCAGCAGCGCGATGGGGTGCAGGGCTGGGGGCGCCAAGCACGGGCTCCGCGAGCAGCTGCTGGTCTGGTCATCCCACCCCGGGTTCCGAAGGGCTGACACCTGCCCCCCCCCACCCCTCCGGAAATACAATCTCCTGTTAGGCTGATCAGAAAGGCGCTAAGAAGCTCTGAGCACCTGCTGTGTGGGCCTTTCTCAGGCTGGCCAGAGAGCGTGCGTTCTCTGGGCTCAGGGACGCTCTCCTACGTGGTCCCCAGGAGTGGAGGGGTGGCTGCCCCATCAGGGAGAGGCTCGTTCTGGCTGGACAGGAAGAGAAGTACAGGTAAGCCCGGGGCCGCTGCTTCGAGTGAGAGCCCCGGTGAGGGTGAGGGCAGGTGTGAGTGCAAGGCTGGGCCGCAGCTTCAGGGGACAGCCTGGTGGCCTCCTCCAGTGCGCCCCTCGCCCAGGGCCCCACCCCAGCCTGGGCCCCTCCTGTGCTGGCTGCTTCTCCTTTGTGCTCCCCCGTGTTCCATCCCAGCTGGGACCTCACTGCCCCCATCGAGTCCCTCCCTCCCCTCCCCACCTGCCAGAGAACAAGGGTCAGCCTCCTGGATGGCCTGCTGGCCCATAGAAATGAGTTGCTGCTGACCCCTGGCGTTAGGAATGCCCACCTGCAGGAATTGCTAGAACCAGCGGGTGAGCGGGCAGCACGGGGATGGCCGGTGGGATGTGCAGGGAAGTGGGCAGTGGGCAGTGATGACCGGTGCGTGGGGCTGCACATCAGACTCTGCGGGGATGGTCAGTTAGGAGTAGATGGGGTTGGGTGGTGACCTTGAATGTGGACCGTGTGCTGTGTGTGCCAAGGAGCTGTGGCTGGTCAAAGCTGGCTCTAGGGAGATGCGGTTGGCGCAGTGTGGAGGGCAGCCGAAGGCAGGAGACCGGCGGAAGAACGGGCTCGGGGTCAGGAAGGTGTCCTGGGTGTGGACAGGTGGGGCTGGCTCACCCCATGGCCTTTCATCCCCTCATGCCATCAGTGACCCGAGTGCCCCTCCCAGTGCCAGGTGCGCAGGAGGCACTGGTCAAGGCAGGCGAGGCCCGTGGGAAAGGCGTGACAGGCAGGGGTCCCAAGAGTGACTCCTGTTGTGTGTCACGGTGGAGGGTCAGGGACGGTCCCTAAGCCGAGAGCTGTGTGCCGTGAGGGGCGGCCCTTCCTGGGGAGTGGATCCTGGCGGCCAGGGTGGCACGGAGCAGCGCTGAGCGGCGTGGTGGGTGAGCAGGGCTCGGAGCCCACCTCTGTGCGGCGGGAACTCCCGAGAGCCTGAAGCAGGGTGCGAGGCCAGCCCCGGAGCATAGCAGGGGGGAAGAGCCGTGGCGGCTGGGCGGTGGCCAGGCACGGGCTAGGGGGAAGCGGCCGCTGTCCCCCGCGGTAGAACCTATCAGACCTGCTGATAGTGTTTGGAAGTGGGGGTTGAGGGAGGACCAAGGCAAAGTCGCAGGCCTGGGAGCCAGGGGCAGGCGGCGGCTGGGGGACGGTGCGCTTGGGCAATTCCAGAGCTGCTTCTGAAAGGGAGGCGTGAGTGGGTAGGATAGCACACGTCACTGGCTTAAGGAGCAAAGGTTGCCGGCAGTGGCCCTGTCTGGGCAGAAGCGGGAAGACGGGAGGGGCTCTGCAGGGACAGGTAGGTCAGGTGCTCAGAAGAGGCTGGGCTGGAGAGAGATGGAGGGCACTGAAATCCTGTGCGACCCCCTCCCCCGGGAGAGTTTCCACGGAGGGCCCCCAGAGCCCCGAACCCCCCTAGTTAGAGAGGTTGCGGGTTTGGGGGGTGTGGTCTGGGAGCAGGGAGCACCGGGTTTCCTGGAGAGGGTCCTGAAGGTCTGAGCTGTCCCTGGGCTGCCCCGGGATGGTGTGGGAGCAGAGGAGATGGAGGGAGCTTGAGGGGGAGGCAAAGCCACTGGTGGTGTGTGCAGGGGGTGGGAAGCCCGGGGTCTGAGAGGGGGGTGATGTGACCCAGGACCCCTGTGCAGGGACCTTAATGAGGCATGTGGCACTGCCTCGTGGCTCCAAGCCCAGCTTCGGGGGGAAGGGGGCTCCCGGGGCGTGGGTGGGGGCACAAGCTGCAGGGCCCAGGACGTCCCTGGTGACGGGTCAGCCTGGCCCCAGTCCTGGCCTGGAATGGGAGTCATGGGGTCTGCCTGCCTCTTGAACTGGGAGAAGGGGCTTCGGGATGATGAAGCGCTCCCCCCACATGCATGCAGGGCCACTGAGGCCCTTCTGTGTGCGGCCCTCCCATTCACTCTGCACGCCTGCCTCCCCCATCCCACCCAGCCTGTGTTGGGTTTCTCCCCTTTCAGCATCTGTTGCTCATCAGGAGCCATATCCCTCATGTTCCCCAGCACCCCTTTAAAGATTTTATTTTACAATTTATACACAGTAAAATTCACTCTGCATTAGGTTTAGGTTTTTAATAACAGTATGTGCGGACATCGGTAATGTCTGCTTTCATCCGCTGGTCTGACTCAGAGGCAAAGCCTCTTAAACCCTCCATGCAAATTCATGCGGGACAATGCAAACAAGGAGCAGGGCTGAGGGTCTGAGGGCTTCCTCTGCCCCAAGCCCAGGTGGCAGAGGCCGGGCATCTTGGAGGGAGGCGGCGTGGCTCCCCTGGGACCCTCCCTCCACTGACTTCCCCAGAGCGAGTGGGCCCTAGGAGGGTGTGGGAGCCCCGACTGCGGCGCCCGGGCAGAGCAGCCCTGTCTGGTCAGGCCCAGCACGGGGGGGGGGGGGCGGGGGGGCGGGCCTGTGTCAGACGGGTAGGGGCCTGTGGATGACGCGCGGCTGATCTTGTCCAAACATGGTCTGCGTAGCCCCATGAGGGCTGGGGTGGGAGAAACGTGTGCCTCGCGCAAGGAGAGCGAGCCTGAGTGGATGGCGGGAAGCACCTCCCTCACCGTGAGACAGAGAAAGGTCAAAGGTCAGAGTTCACTTCCATCCCCCATAGGCTTTGGCGTAAAAGTGTTTGGAAGAAACTCTGCTCCTTCGAGCAAAGTTGGAAAAGGACTGAGGGGTGTTTTCTAGCAGGGTGACAAGACCACGGCTGGACTCTGCTTGGGTGTGGTTGCCCAGGTCCCGCGGTGGCCCACGTACTTCCCGCGGCGCCAGCTGGGCAGACTGGGGTGGGGGTGGCCCCCATCCCTCACACCCGCTGTAGCCCCCACAGCTGCCACGCTACACCCAGCTCAGGGGACGCTGTGGGGCCTGATGCCCCCTCCCCTGCCCACCGTGTTCCCTGGTGCCTGTCGGCTGTCTCACTGTCCCTTCCCTCCCCACTAGCCTCGGCGAGCACAGGGCTTCGTCGTCCCCTGCTGGCTGGCCAGTAGGAAGTGCTTCCTTTGGTATCTGGCGGCCAACCCAGCGCTTCTGCCAGCGTCCTGGAGGGCAGCAGCAGAGGGCTCGGAAGGGCAGGGCCTGCTCCCCGATGCCCCACGGAGTCCAGGGCGGCGATTCCCGGGGTGTGCTGTGGCATCACACTGGCCGGGGGTTCGGTCCGGCTCCAGGGCCGCTGCGCACGAGCCCCCGGCCGTGGCCGGGGTGTTCGCTCCCGAC